ACTTTGGGAAACTTTGTAATTTCCCTCATGGTTCCTATGGAGGTGGGGGGCCCGAAACTACAACCCAGCTAGGGTTGGTTTTTGAGTTCGTACCGAATCGACACTATTGTGTTTGAGGAAGGTCCCTTAAGCTTTAGAGGGTTCTTCTTATCCCACCACAGGGGCCATCGCAAAAGCATCCGCCTTCCTGCAATAAGGACTGCTCTCACCCACTGGCTCACAGCTTATAACACTAATCCCCCTTCTCAAAAACAAACCAAGCCGTAAACAGACTTAACGATAACAACATACAGAGATACGCGAACAAGGGTAGAACAAAGACAAACTCTTAAACCCTAAACCCAGACTCAAAACAAGACAATCCGACGAGGACTGGTGACTCCTTTGTTACATTACACAGGTGAGATACTGTTGATGATATAAAACCTGCATTACGTTAAAGACCCTAAACTATGGGAATTATGGTATTTTCCTTGGTATGGGTAATGCAGGATTTATATCATCAACCGTAGGTAGCCGTAAGACTTTTCGGCTGCAGATGTACAAGGATTTGAGGTTGAGCTCTAGGGTTTACGATTTTTAGAGTTAGGGTTTGGTGTCTAGACCTTGAAGGCACATGACAAAGTCCACAAGCCAAAAGCCAAAGCTTCGCCCAGCAAGGGTTTGAGGTGCACATAGAGTAACCGAAGGTAAATGCCCTAAACCCTAAACCCTAAACGCCAAACCCCAAACCCTAAACCCTAAACCCTGTGTTGTAGGCAACTTGGGGAGCTCTGTTCAAGATCTGTTTTAGAGGGTACAGTGGTTCCCGTGTGTGTAAGGTTCAAAGGCTCGTACCCAGAGACTCCAACATCAGCATCGCAGCTCATCTAAGGGATATATGGGGGTTTCCGAACATAGGGGGCCCTAATATGGTACCATAAATAATAGGATCCCTATTATAAGGACCCCAAAATAAGGTACCCTAATTTTCTGAAACTCCCATATTCCGTGAACGTAGCAGGAATCTCTCCAATAGCACAAGAATGCTTAAAGGCTAAGGTTGAACCCATCCCTAACCTGGGCCCTTAGGGGATTCTAGGGTCCCTTAAGGATATATATATATATATATATATTATATATATATATAGGGTATATAGTAGGTATATTAGGGTCCCAGGGTTAAGGGCCCATACTAGGGGCCCATGGGTTCTACCTTAGATAAAGGCTAGTCTTGAATCCGTGTGTAGCATGTCCGGGTATGGCACATCGTGATGTCAGGCATGACGACAAACTTCCGCTAACCTCAAAGGCTATGGCAGAGCCTAGCCCCCGTGCGGGCACCGTCTTAGAAACCCTGCAAGCCCGCCGCTTCTGCGTTTAGCACCCGGCTCCTGCAAGGTTGTCTCGTTTGGGGTTTGGGATTGCGGGCTCTCGCGTGTGCTGTCGGGTTCAGGATTTAGCTGTTCTGACTTCTTCCACCCTGCTCTGAAGCGCATGTGGCCAAGGTTCGAGGTTAACGCGACTTGAGGTCCTGGTAGTTTCGGAAGGGCCAGCGCATGCACAGAGATTTTCAACCCGAGACTACCAGTGGCTGCTGGACATTCGACGACTTCCACGACTTCTGTGGCGATGTCCTCAAACCCCACATCTCTAAACCTCTAAAATCTACACCGGGGTCAAGGGAGGAAGGCAGGGACTGGCAATGGGAGGCGAGGGAACAAGCTAAACTGAAGGTTAGAAGTTGGAAAACATGGGGAGATCTGCAAATTTCAATGCTGAATGCGGAGCAAAACGACTTCTCGGCCTTCGTGCTTGCCCCACCCAAACGACAACGTAATATAGGAGCCTTAATAATTAGAATAGGGCTTTGGGGGCCCTTTATACTATACTTATATTACGGAACACTCAAAATAATATAGGTCATTCTTAAGGCCCAGATGTGGTGGGGACATGGCTGCCCCCAGTAGCCGTGCTGATAGAAACCGCCCACGGAGAAGACTTGAACCCCAACCACCGTTTATGACTGCATCCTCATGAACCCTACCCATAGGCCCCATAGTAGTTCCTTTTGGGATTCCCTAATAGGCTCCGAAATATAAACCACAAAAAGGTACTAGGGGGCCTATGGGTAAATCCTCCCGCAAACCAGTAAACCAGCGAGTTAGTTAGTGTGATGAGATTTTTGTTCGAGTGGGTTCGTTGCGTATCTATCGGTTCGACCTTGCCTACTCCTCAAGGCACAAATCTGTGTACTCGGTACTCTTGACTCGTGATGTTGCTGGCCGTTGCTACGTCCACTCATAGATGTCCAATTCTTTCATGTTCCGATGAGTGGCAAGCTCGAAGCATCACCGTACATGTGGCAAATCTCCGCAACAGAGCTCAGCAGCGACCTGGAGCATGGATAATACCGGGATTCTCTGGAACGCGACCTTCTTCGGCCTCGTTCGCAGAGATTGTCTTGACCTGCAGCACGGGGCACTAACAAATGCATACAGAAGCGGAAATGTGAAAGTCTGCTCTGAGTCCATATTGCTTTGGCCAAGCAGACATGGACACAATCGGGAATGCAAGTCGACCTCTGCAAATACAATACAAGCATACTTCTATGAAGCCGCCGTGTCGCACCAGCTTTAAAATAGTGGCCTCAACAACTACCTAAATTATTCTTGGGGGTTCCTTATATTATTATACTATAAAGGACCACCCAAAACCCTCTTCTAATTATTAAGGTCCCTATATTCAATTGTAACAAAGCTGCGATGGACTGCCATTGTGCACTGCTGTGCTGGTTCAGACGTCTGGGCTTCTGGTTTAGGGTTTAGGGTTCAATCTGACCAAGGCGCCACATATTTCTCCCGATGGCGGGACAGTTTGGAAGGCCTCAGAGTCATGAGGTCACTTTCCGAGACGGCTGCGGTTGCATCAGTTCGTTTTCTGGTGTCTTGCATGTAGGTTCTCTGTCAGAGCGCATGCAAACGACGTTGCCACCTCTAGTTCGGCTCGGAACATTTACAAGGCCACTATCCCTAAACCCTAAACTATAGAATGGCACACTGCAGAAACTTTCTCGGGGACCTTGTATCCCGGAGCCTCCAAAAGAGTACCAGCGACGGCGGCCAATTCTGTCTTTGATCCGAATCCACACTGCGGCCCTATGTTCCACTAGCGTGTTGAGAGCACTATCAAAGTCTATGCCTATGCATAGTCTTGAAAAGTCAGTCTGAAAGTGACGAGAAAGGCTAGGTTTGTCTGGCCGTATGAAGTGCAAAACTTCACAATGCACTGCCAGCTGCAGGCTGGAACATTTCAGCGTCGGAAAGCTGCTACTTCATGCCAGTCCCGGGACATTACGGCCTAGGTTTGACCATTGTAAAATTGTCTAAAATTTCCTACCACTGCTTGCCTGGAGCTTGCATCTACATCGGCGTAATGTCGAGACGCAGAAATCTTACACATGTCCTCGTGTCGAGGTCCTTGGCAAAGTCTGCCTAGGCCAACCGACTTGGTACGATTAGTGTTGCAGAAAGGAAACTTGAAACACGCGAAAGAAGACGTTTCTCGGACTCCGAAAAGACGGACATCCAAGGTTTCTGGGTACTCAGCACCGAAGTTGGCACTTTAGAACCACGTGGAATTTGCGGCTCTATGCACCCACAGAAACCTTGGTCGAAATCGATGTTCTGGCCTGGCAGCAGCATGCGATTACATGCTCCCAGTCTTGCTTGCAGCTGCAGAGTGTGTTATGAAGATTGTGTCACAGCAAAGTTCGAATTGCAAGTGTTGCACGGATGTCAGTGCAAGTGTCAGCTGTATAGGCCGCAACCACTTGGGTGTATCCTGCTAGGGGTCTCGGAGCTCTCGACCCACATCAAGAGACAATCCGAAACTCATCGTCGGAGCTCCAACTTTCCCACACCAAGGACCTGCGGGCCTGGAGGGGTTTGGGGAGCATCCCAAAAGAGCCGCCGGAAAATCGCACAAGTCAAGGTCAACCCATCTTTCTGTAGCTGCCACGGGGTCTGCCCCCCCCTCCCCCCACACCGATGTACCATCAGTGCTGCTGTTTGCGATCTGAGCCTTACTCATCTAGGCAGGGGCTGAAACGCTTTGCAAAGTGAGCGGAACCGGGCGGGATTCAGATGCTGCAGAGAGACTTTCGCCCGCCACATTCTCAAGAATGTTGCAACGCGCTGAACGATCGTTTCTTTCTCTGAGCTCACCTGCTGCCGGCTGATGTCCTCCTTGCTATTTGCTCGAGTTACTTGGTGATTAGAGCTGGCGCTGTGACCACGATCTGGGAAGAATGAGCCGTCGCGGGAGCGATCGAGCAACTCAAATGGAATCTCAGCTTCGCACCTCAGAGATTTCGCCCACAGCGCCAACATGCTCGCAGACAATGCGGCCGTAAACCCTAGAAACCCTAAACTGCCCCTAAAACCACCTCTCGAAGTTCACTGGGCCCCGGCTTCTGAAGCTTCGGCAGTTGATCAAACCCTCTTTGTGCAGGACTTTCACCCTACAGCAATAATGGAGTTTTGTGTAAACGGGGAGCAGGGTCTTGGACAGATCTGAACTGTCCAGAAGGGCAACAAGCTGAGATCAAATGTCCAAGTGCCCTTCCAGACGAAAATGTCAACGACCTTGAACCCGCTGTCTTTGTGTTAATCTCATGGTGTCCTCAGCTCTAGTTTGCCTTTTTTTCCTATCAATTTCCGTGGCCCGTGCACCTGTGTGAAGACTTGGATGCTGTTGCTCAGGCGCAGAAGAGGCGGCGGTACCTCTGTTCGTCCGCGCCCCAGTGGTTCTGTAGGAATTGAAAAACTATGCACTCCCTTTAAGAATCCTTATGTGCACATGCCTTCGATGCTACCCCGAAACCGTACTTATCAGCTAAACGCAGATCGATTGATTATAGTTACCCAAGCTTGGCTGCATGCGGGCTAAAGCTGAAAGTGCCTGATAGCTAAGATACAAATACCCCGAACCTGTGTACAAACCCTGGGGTCCAAGAACCGTAAACCCTAAACCTAAAGCCCCGAAAGCCACAAAGCCCTCCACCCTAAACCTTCGACCCCCTAAACCGTAAACCCTAAACGGATAGAGCCTCCAAGTACTATGTAGAAGCCTGGATAATTAAATAATGGCATTCGTTGGGGTTTCAAACTATATTTATACGATCACCAATATCCCTAAGTGTTTAGGGTTGGGTTGAGGGTTTAGAGGTTTAGGGGTTTAGGGGTTCAGGTTTTTTGGGATTAGGATTCTAGAAGCCTAAACATATCTAAACATTAAGGTAAAATGCTGAGGCCATACTTCCAGGCCTAGCCGGTCTTATTTATGGAGTCTACGATTTCATGGAGTCTACGATTTAGGACTGTTGGGTTTAGGGCTGAGCGTTTAGGCCTAAGCCTTTGATTTGAGCATATAAGTTACAGGGTAGATTGTGGCTCAGGGTTTAGGGGTCCTGGCTATGATAGTTTACAGTTTCAGGTACATGATACATTCCACAACAAAGGCTCAAAATCATGGCAATCTTCGTTAGGGTGCCTATGGGTGCCCTGCTTACCAAGTCTCTTGGCCCGAAAAAGAATGATACTGAACTCTCTCTATCGAGTGCGGTGTGAAATCAACCCCGAACCCTAAACTCCAAGCCTCGTAACTGGAGTAATGTAGCATCGTTATCCTCATGCTACACATTTTGTATGCTAACGTACGAGAATGTCCTTGGTGCAAGAACACGTGAAGCTATGCCTTCCAGTAGGACCTCTAGTACGTTGTCCCTAAACCCTAAATCCGGACGAAGTTGCGCCTCCATGAGTTCTACGAGTCTCACGAAGTTTACTATAGCATTGCTGTTGTTGTGTTCAATGCTGGTTTAGGGTTTAGGGTTAATGCCATGGGTTTAGGGTTTAGGGTTTAGGGTTTAGGGTTAATGCTACGGTGATTCTTGAGTAGTCCTTCATGGCCCACGGCGCGGCTTTGGAAGAGTTTCAGGCCCTGACACATTGCCCTTCGGGGACTAAGCCGTTGTGTCAGCATGAGGCCTACGCCCTAAATCCTAACCTCTAAACCTTCAAACACTAAACCCCCAAAATCTAATCCTAAACCCTTAAACCCCTAAACCCTAAACCCTTTATCCCCTAAAGCTTAAGATTTATCCCCCTGAGTGGGCTCTGGTCTTCATGAGTTCAGATCATGTCGTTAAAGCTGAAGGATCAGTGGTTTAGGGCTTTTTGGATTTAGGCTCTTAGGGTTTAGGCTTTAGGCTTTTAGGGTTTAGGGTTGAGGGGTTTAGGCGTTTAGGGGCTTTGGGGTTCAGGGTTGAGGGGCTCAGGGGTTAGGGGTTAAGGTTTAGGGGTTTAGGTTCAATCGGGTTTTAGGGGTTAAGGGGTTTGGGGTTTAGCGTGTAGAGTTTACGGGTTTAGGTGTTCAGGGTTTAGGGGTTTTGGGTGTATAAAGGGTTTAGGGGAGCTAAGGAAGAGGTTCGTTTCAGTTGCGAAACGCCTTGTTGAGGGGGTTCCAGCAGCAAGCGTATGCTTGACTTCCAGCCAGCATTCTCGCGAGCCTTGTGCATTGCAAGTCTTCTGTCTTCTCAAGAAAAGAAGTTTCGAAATACGGTGCGAGGCATTTGCTCATTTGCAAGGTGTTTCCAAGATACCTGAGGAGTTTCGAGTCAGTTCTGCTGAGGATGACAGCGTCGATCTCTGTGCGGCGGTGTTCCTCAAGGGCATTATTGAGGCCTCGCTTTTGGTCTTAGCACTACACTGGTTCAGTCCTCGAATGCAGACACAGGCGCAGATGAACAAAGCCTTTTTAAAAAGCTAAATTGGCATGCTAATGCGGTAGTGGCCCTTAAAGCACGAGGCTTTTTCATTTACATGTCTACGTCTACGTGAAACCCTTGATCGGCTTAACGCTATGAACTTGTGGCCCATGACCAGACCCCCATCAGTTGCTTGGAAGATCGACCCGTGTATGGTAGGGTTGCAGCCACACTCGCGTGTACTTCTTCAACTTTTATGAGTTCTACTGGGGTTCGATGGGAGCTAGATTACTGACTGTTCGGACTCACGTGGCACCCATGACCAAGAGTGCAGCTTGCTTGCTTCTGGCAACGTCCTCAGCTCCACCCACCCGCGCGTAACCCCTAGACTCTAGATGGCAAGCCCCATGCCGAAGCACATGTCTTATTGGTAATCAGTGAGACACAGTAGTTATAGTCAGACCAACCGTAATCCGGAGAACAGTGGCCGTGATGCTGATGATGATGATGATGAGCAATATAGTTACAGTGCTTGCTGAATGTGGCAGTGCCGGTGACGTGAGGATGATGGTGATGCCCATGATGAAGACATTGCTGGCCATGTCGATGGTGCTGTTGCTATTTGGTACTGATCTTCTTGTTGATGAGGAAGCAAGTGGCACCTGTATATGCCCTGCAAAATGTTTCAACCCCAAGCGCCTTGGGGTCAGTGTTAAAGCTATGTTTGCTTTTTGGGGGCGCTGGGTGAAACAGTGATTGAAACAACTACCCAAACTAGGGTACATGTGTGGGTACGCTAGCAGTCACCAGCATGGATTTGCGGCTCGGCCGGTCCTGGTGGGAAACATAGCTTTTGTTGTCAGTAGATACAGCGTCTTTACACACCATGGAACCGCTACATGCTTTAGCCTTAATTAACTCCCAATTTGATTCAGGCTTTGTCTCTGGTCTCTACCTTTGTTTCACGGACGCTGACGTTTCAAGCACTGCTCCCTCGTATAACTATGGCAAATTGAGCCCCCAAAGCCCGGATTCCTAGAAGCATAAAGCCCCCTTCATCAAAGTGTCTAGTCCAGGCTTGCCAAGCGAGCTTCAAGCGTACGAACGAGACGGCTGAAACCGTGGTGGACAAGCTCATCTTGGCGGAAGACCAGGACTCCGCCCGCACTACCTATACACTGATACAATAGATGTATATATATATATACACACATATATATATATATATATGTTTTACATATATATATATATATGCATATATATATATATGTATCGTGCATATATGCCTGTGTATGTGTTTTTGTATGTGTGTGTATATATGTATATACACACACAAGGCACGCGGAAACTTTGAGCGCCACATAGATACCCGTTTACACACATGATGCACCAATAAACTTTAGGTAGAGGCATTGGCCAATGCGCACGCACATGCACATACATTAGCAACAGCGCCGTCAAGTCTACGCCATATAGGGGCCTTTCCTGGGTTTTGGCGGTTCAATTTTGGAGTTGTACACATGGCTTTAGGTTCAAAGGATGAGGGTTCAGAGTGTTGTTTTTGTTTCGGGATTTGGAGTGGCTTTGTTACCCCAAACCCTAAACAGGGACTTGGCTGAGCTGGTCAATCATTGCCTGAACCAGAATTTTTGCTCTGGGGATACTTTTCCGTTTCAGGTTTCAGACCCTTGTCATTTTGATATTCCTTCTTTCTAAACTCTACTGGGGCCTTGCTAGGGTTACAAGTAAAACTCTCGACTTAGACCGCCAAGCTCAAAACTCCTGAACCCTGTTCCCTCCATCCCAACACCCTCAACCAAAAACCCAAAACCCGAAACCCAAAGCCCTAAGCCCTAAACAACCCTGAATCCTGAACCCTAAACCCTAAGCCCTAAACGCTGAACCCTAAACCCTACAGCCTACCGAAGAGAGGTCTCGGAGGACCAGTCGCCACATCATAAAACGTAAATCCTGAACCCTACCTTAACCCCAAATAATTCCTCATTATGATTTCCTGATTAAGTCTTTACAAAAGTGGGTTTTCTAGGGTCCAGGTACAGTCTAAACTCAATGCCTAAACTCTGAAAAGCCTGTAACAACTCAAACCCCAAAATCCGAAGCCTTTTGCAGACAGAGGCCCAAGAGAACAAGTCCTTAAACCCAAAGCCCTAAATCCTGCAGATGTATAGCCCATAAGATTTACACTTTTCGGGGAGAAGTCCCCACAACCGAAGCCCTAAACTCTAAACCCTAGCTCTTTGCCACAATTATTTTCTATGACTTCCTGCCAAATAGTGGGCTACGGGTATGTAGCCCTGCGCTGAGAGGTCTCAGAGGACAAGTTCATCTCGTTCCTGACCGCACTGCCGGCACCCCGAACATGTAGGGTTTAGGGCTCAATAGAAAAGAGTAAATAATTGCCGATGTTATTGCTTAGGGTTCCTTATTATAAGTATACTATAAAGCAGCCTAAAGCCCTATTCTAATTATTAAGGCCCTTGCATTGGCTAGGTGGCAATTTGGGAAACTTGTTAATTCCCTATGGTTCCTATAGAGGTATCTATTCATAAATATTTGTTGGGGGTCCGAAACTACAACTCAGTTAGGGTTTTCGGATACGTTGCTGTTACGGCACAGGGGGCTTCGTTTGATGAAGGGCTTATGCAATACCAAGGATAAGAGTAATGCTACTACTCAGAACCACCGTAACAATAATGCTGCGAGTATGAACTATCGAAGTACTAGGTGGCACTTTGGGAAACTTTGTAATTTCCCTTATGGTTCCGAAAGAGGTATCTATTCATCAATAATTTTGGGGGCTACAACTCAGAATATGGTCATAGTGAGACATCATGATAATGATGACCAGGATTCACAATGCCAGTTACAAGAACAGGTGAGTTCTCCAAAGCTGGAGACGCTGCAGGAGCTGCTTAGTCCGTTCTGCCTGGTCTTCCTTAGGGAAGGGAACGAAGATCATATAGGGGCCTAAATAACTACCTATATTATTTTGGGGTTTCCTTATTATAAACTATAAAGGGCCCCAAAACCTTATTCGAATTATTAAGGCCCCTACATTAAACCCTAAACCCTGAACTTCCAGCCCTTGCCAAGCATCGACGTGAGCGCATTTCGTACGTCCTCCGACCTGCTTGAGCCTGGGATCCTCTGAGAGATGTTTTTAGGGTTTAGGGTTTAGGGTTTGGGGTTTAGAGTTTAGGGTTTGGGGTTTAGGGTTCAGGGTTTAGGGTTCAGAGCTGTGCTCTTCAGAGTCGAGCACATCAAGGAATCCTAAGCCCCGACCATGCCACTGCTGCTAACCCCCAGGCCGTAATGTCTGGGGACAACTCCTAACCATATCCCTAACCTTTCAAGCCTGCTTTAGCCTTAAGCCCTAAACCCCTAGACCCCTAAACCCCTTAACTCTAAACCCTAAACCCTAAGCCCTAAACCCTAAGCCCTGAACCCTAAACCCAAAGCCCTAAACCCTAAACCGTCTTTGCTCAAGGCCTGAGCTCCAGGCGTCTGAGGACGTGCCCATGTACTCCGCCGAGGCCTCTTTCGTTAGGGTTTAGGGTTCAGGGGGTGGAGTTTGGGGTTGTTGGGGAGGGTTTAGAATTGACCCGGTCAGAGTTTAAGGGGGTGTAGGGGGTCGAGTTTAGAGTTTAGGGTCTAAGGTTTAGGGTTTAGGGCTTAGGGAAAAGAGTTTAAGATTCAGGGGTGCAGTTTGAGGTTTGGGGTTTAGGGGTGGAGTTGAAGGTTTACGTTTTAGGGGGTAGAGTTTAAGGTTTAGGCCCTTGGGCGATAGAGTGATTCAGCCGAGTTTTGTGAGCGGTTTGGGGTATGCCGCAGGTGTTTTTTCTTCAATTGGTTTTCAGAGTGCTTGTGGGCGTGTTTGAGGTTGTGGTCCGCGTTGTATTTTTGCGAAGGATCCCCAAAACCTTGCTTGTGTGTGTGTGTGTTTGTGCGAGAATCCCCAAACCCGAATCAAAAGCCCTAAAGCACTAGACCTTTCGCCTAAACCCTAAACCCCAGACCCTTAACCCTAAACCCTAAAGCGTTAAACCCACATCAAAAGGCCTAAAGCACTAGACCTTTCACTTAAACCCTGAAGCCCGCATGCGAGGAGCTAAAGGCGGCCTACCGTGCATTGCTACCTCCTCGGAGTGAGACTACGCAGGCCCAGGGTTCAGGGTTTAGGGTTTAGGGGGCCCTTTTGTGTAAAATCTCGGCTGTCCTGGTTTGGGTATCGGGTTTAGAGTTACAATACGGGTTCATTAGAGCTGTGGGATATATGGCGTTGGGCCTAGGGTTTTGGTTTCTGGGTCTAAAGTTCAGGATGTCGGGCTTAGGGTTTGGGTTTTTGATTTTGGGGTTAGGCTTAGGGGTTTAGGGTTTAGGGTCTATGGTTCAGGCTGTTGGGTTTGGAGTTTGCGGGTGTAAGGTTGAGAGTTTACAGAGACCCGATCTGAAGCGGGTGATCGAAGGATTGCTCCTCTGTTAAACCCAAAACCCTAAGTTTTCCAAAAATCCAACACCCTAAACCCTAAACCCCTAAACCCTAAACCTCTATTTTGGGGCTCAGTCGGGGCTTGTGACCTCGTGGCCTTGGAAGAACATGTGATCGGGTGATACGAGGGTTTTTGCTCAGACATATCATAGCTTGAGTTAGTGGTATGCTTTCCTCATTACGGTAGCTCATGCTAGATTCCGGGGCGAGAACCCAGAGACGGCTTTAGACGCAGGATTAAGGTTTTCAGGTTTGAGACTCTGCACACAGGATTTTTGAGGGGTTTCCGGTTTTTGGGTTTTGCGTCTGGGCAGTCAGGGGCTTTATATATATATATATATATGTATATATATATATATATACATATGTGTATATATATATATAGATACATATGTATATATGTATATAGCTGGAGAGTCCAATGCTTGGGCTCTCTGGGTTTGGTGATGCAGCTGAGGCGGTGTCCATGTATGTGTCTGTGCGTTGGTACCAGCGTCCTGCAATGAGATGCCAAGCGTGCCTCCGTTTCTCAGCACGTGCTTGTCTAAAAAACCTTCAGGGTTCTCCAACTTAAGACAAACCCCCCGCCTAAAATGCAAGCACGAGATCTATAGAAGGAATTTGGGGAAGTTGCAGCAGGTCGTGACATGCGACAAAAAGTAGGATTTGCTTCAGAGACCAGATCCTTAGTAGCTTCCTTTTTCCATGAAATGTTCACCAGTTGCTTGAGCAGATTTTAAGTACCATGTTATGCCGCTGCTTTTCAGTTCGTGGCATACAGACAAGAGCTGGCCAGCAAGAAATCACGGACGATCCAAGCAGTCCATTCCCTACAGTCACAGGCCTCAAACTCTGAACGAAATCCCTAGCACCCAAGCCGCTTGACGGTTTAAGGCAGTTTTTGGTTTGGGGTTCAGGGTGTGTTTTTGGCCTGGGTTCAGGGTTTAGGGGTTTAGNNTTTAGGGTTTAGGGTTTCGGATATATAGGGTGAGCTGTCAGCGAGCTGGCTGGTGGCCCTGAAGCGCCAACCGCAAACAAAGCCTGCTAAACCCGCAGTCAGCCAAAGAAATATGGAAAAGGATATTGTGAGGGCCCAAACACAATGCGTGCTTTCTGCTGTAACCCATCAGGTCCCAATGTTTCTGATGTAAAGTTACGGAAATGGCATTTATGTTGCTGCGTTTCTTTCTTTACAAACATTTGGGGGGGGGGGGGGGTTGGGGGATAGTGGCTTTCACCGTGCCTCATCTTGCTGAGAAGTCGTAGTGGCGAGAGATTTTCGGGCAAGCTGTTGTGCATCTGCAAACGTCCCCTAGATACCTTTTTTGTCAGTTCACGTCTCCGGTTGTTTTTTTCCTAGGTTTCTGGCAAGATGCATCAGCAAGCTATGCCTGGACGAAGGCCTTCAATCCCCAACCACCAAAGCCTCAAACGCCTAAAGTCTGCAGCAACACAGAAACCTTGGCCTTTGCTGGTTCTTCGAAGTCAATACGCAGCCTAAACCTTAAACCTCAAACCCT